TACCGTTCGGAGCGTGTTCGAGCGGCGTCGCGTCGTCCGCGCTCCGCGGCCCGCGGCGATTCACTGCCGGCTTTGACGTACGCGACGGTGTCTGGTCGCGGTTTACGCGCGCACACAGAAGCCCCGCAGCACCGTACAAAAGGCCGTATCACACATCGGTGGCTTTTTGGAACGGCGAGAAAAAATCGGTAATTAAAGCACGGATTTGCCTATGCGCGACCGTGTACCGTCACGGTTTACCGGGCGCCGTTCGCTCTCGCGCGACGATACCGAACGTCGTTCGACCGTCGTTTCTTCGTCGATACAAACTTTCCTTTTTCCTGTTCGATCTAATCATCGGTTCACCGAGAAACAGTGAACAGAGATTTCCCCGCGGACGTGTGCCCGCATCGTTGCGATCGGATCGCGCGACGGTACGCCTAAGAAACGCTTCGCGAAGTCGTCGAACTTCGGTTTTCGTCTCGAAACTAGTCGTGACTCCGAATTAACAAGCTTTCGAAGCTCTACGGACTCCGGAAGCTGTCGACAACCCTCTCGCGCGTCCCCGATTCTCCTTCCATAGCCTCTTGATCCACTAACATAAGTTTCTTAAAAAGAAAGCAAAAGCACCGGTCGTGGTCTAGAAATCACCTGTTAACCAGGTGATTTTCCTGGCGGATCTCCGTTCGGTAAAATGCTTTCTACCGGGAGGGTAGCGGTTGCTAACGCAGCCGGCAACGATCGCAGACGAAGGGACCGAAGTACCGCCGAGAAAAGCGTGATCGAAGCCGGCTCGTCTTTCCCGGGCGAATGAAAATAATCGGGCGCCGATGGAACCGCCGAAGAGTCGTCGCGCGAGGCACGTGCGCGCCGGAAGCGTCCAGCCGCGCGCTGTTCGCCTCGCGTAACGTTCAATCAATCGTGCCGTGGCGACCGCCGCGTCGGTCGGGGCTGAATCGCGAGCGAATGGCGCGTGTCCGTGCTGAGGGTCGCGCGTGCTCGAAGCTCTGTAGAGCGTTTAGGCAGCGGTGAACGGGCGGCGTGAAGCTTGCAAGCGGCACCGCGAGGCCGTCTGGGCAGCGTGGTGATACGTACTACTTGAAAATAGCAACGACACACTTCGCGGCCTGCTGTCCTGACATCGGACGAGCGTCGCCAGTGGTTAGCGGCAGTCGAGCGGAGAGAGGCCGAAGTTGGAGCCGTGCCAGGATTCCCGAGGACTTTCTCGGCACTCGTCTCTCCCCTTTCGTCGTCTCGTTGCTTCGCTCGTGGGCGTCGTCGTCGTCTAACCCCGCGATCGACGGACGCGGACGTCGGGGACCAGCGAACTCGACGCACAGAAATCGAACGAACACCACCTTCCCGCTTTCCCGCGAACTCTCGAGGCCCCCCTCTTCGTCCAACCCTTTCGACTTGTGTTTCCTGCGTTACTTTTGAATCCCGAGGGACGGACACCTGCGGGAGGGTCAGAGTGAGCGAGAGGGAGGACAGAAAGAGGCAGGGGTTCCCCTCGAAACTCTCTGCTCGACGGCTCTCCCGCCCCTGGCTCTCTGTTCGATCGCGACCACCCGCGGGACGCCGACGACTACTGCATCGAGATGCGTCGAAGGAATTCCTCGGACTCTCTACCGACGCGACGCGACGAGACGCGACGCGACGCACGCCCCTCGCGGCCTCTCTCACCTTGCACGCCCGCCCGCCCGCCCGACCGCACGCGAGCGGACCTGCGCTCTCCGCGACTGCATTCTCGCGTTTTGGCAATCACCGTGGCCCGCCGCGCTTCTCGCCTCCTGGTTATCGACCGGGCGCTGATAACTCGACGAGCGTTACTCGTTGAACGGTAACGCGCGGAACGTCCGCGGGATTCCGATTGTTTTCGGCGGCTCGACTCGGCGGACTGGCTTTGGAAAGCTTGGCCCTGTCGGCAACGTACTGGCGCGGGATCGAGGTTGTTAACTGTTTTATTAGGTTTCGTATTTTTAGCAATTTCGTACGCTTTCCTCGGGATAAAGGTATGATTGTTAAGTTTCGCAATCGAAGCGAGAGAAACGCTGGTTGCCGGTGGAAGGGTTGATCCGTTGTCCACGCTCTGCCGTATCTGCCAATGATACCTCGTTCCTCTGCGCAATTATGAATTGTTCGCGTCGATTGTATTGAAATGCGTGTATCAACGAAGGAAGTTACGTCTTCTTGCTCAATTTCCTGATGTTGCAAGCCTTGGGCTTGGCGCAGCGGAGAAACAAGAAAATCGTATTGTCTTTTCAGGTGGTTCTCGGTTGAATTGCAAATGGAACGGTTTAATGTGTCCGCGCGCGGTGTCGCGGGATGTTTTGTTGCGCGGAGATAGAGAAAGTCAATGGCAAAATCGGGCAGCGAACAGTGGAAAGAGCGAGTCGCTGACGCAACGCGTTGCCGAGCGTGGCAAAGGAATGACACGTTCACCGGCGAAGCACGTGGCGGCCACGCGAGGCTTTCATTCACCGACGAAAGCTTCTCTTCCATTTATGAACGCGGCGAGACGCTCAACTTGGTATCGTTCCCATCGGTGGAACTGTTTAATTAATTCTCAGACTGTCGTGGGATCGTATAGAACCTGAAAATTGATAATCAGGGTACGGTAACGTTAATGAGAATCGAGACGTCGATCCGTCGCGTTCGAGAGAGCCAGCAAAGAGAACCGTCGATCGTGATTTATTTGATCTTTATTTCGTATTTGTACACGCCCTCGGCATGCCACATACAATCAATATAATACAGTCCAATGCAGCCAAGGTAGAAGTAAAATACAAAAAATATATATATATATTTATATATATTTATATATATATTTATATTCTACGTCGATAGTTGTCGTTATTATTATTGTTACCACGATGTTATAACGCTGAAATAGGTTTATGAATAATAGCTAAGAATATAATACAAAGAAGAGTGCTGTTTAGTACGGTAGGACACGTAATTCGGATTGAACGTGGTGCGGATTACGAATATTTCTTCAGCGTTTTCCGACTGAGATCGCTAAGAGAAACGGCCGCGGTTCTCATTGTTTCTCGTTTTACTGTATCACCGTGTGCGACGCGACGCCGGCGATCGTCGAGACGAACGTTCGAAATCGCAGCCCCTTTCGCGGCCGCCCGTCGAAACGCTCGCGAAGAAGAGAAGCTTCGACGAACGTCGTTTATCGAGAAACGAGCCGAACGAAGGGAACACCTGAATGCACTTTATACTTAGACTGCGGTCTTTCAATGCGAATCCTCCGGTTCAACGTGATCGCCGTAGAATCGATTGTTTCCGGTAAATGGAACCTCGGGTGAAACGGAGAACGAACGAGAGAGATTCATCGAATCCGATAAGAGTTTCTATTTTAGCTTGCACCGCGAAATCGTGCAGCTTATCGCGACATTAGATCCGCAGTCTATTTATAACGTCACGTATGGCTATGCAAAAACGCGAATAATTTAACGGCAATAACCTTGACACCCCCGGGAAACCTGGGTGCCGATCGATCGATAGTTGATTTCCCGTCGACGAAACACCAGAGGAAAGGGTAGAGTTGCGTTACAGTGGCAGTTAACCATTAAATTGACTAATTTATTGCTATTGAATCGTACGGGGAAACGATAATACTTTCGAAGAACGTGAACGTCCGCGGCGAGAGCTACCCCTCTCCCCGCGTCTGTGTAGTAGTAGTGGCCACCGTCGGCGATCGATGATCGCGACGGATTCGGACGCAAGACCGACCGCTACGCCACGGATCCCCCTTAAATTAAAACACACCGCTTACACAGCCACACGTTCGATGCCCGGCTCGAAAAGCCTTCGATGTTGCAGCACCAACAGCCGAACGATCACTGAACGATGCTATTCTTAACGCGTTGACTGCCGCACGGAATTCGCGAGCGACGCCGTGATGTGATCGCTTTACATATGATGTCACGATTACGCGACTCGATTTTTTAATAGGGCGTGTTCCAGCCGCTGTTCGAAGCGTTTATTTATCGCACATCGATCGAAATAAACGTATCGCCCGTCAACGCGTTAATCGCACGATTCCAGCACTCGAATGGATCAAGGTTGGTAGTGGCGGCAATGGTGGTGGTGGTTTTTGCAAGGATCGGAAGAATAGATGCGGGAAGATAATTCGTTGAAACCTTTCGAGTTTTCAGAGTGTCTTTATTAGAGCGTAGCCGGTAAGCGTTTTATGGCAGCTTTATGAGGATGACTGGGGTAGCGACCGTCGTTAAAGTCATCGAAAAAGAAATCCTAACCCAACGGTGAAACAACGATAAGACGATAAATCCATAATATTAACAGTAATAGAGTGTAGTGTAGGGATAACTAGGGTAATTCAACTAAAAGA